TAGTTAATTTATGATCCTTTTATTGATGTTTTTAATTGCTTCATTTTTTGTTATACTAACATTTTAATCTTTGCTATAAGATTTATCCAAGTTTGTCGAGTTGTTTCGCCTTCATTTTGAGTTAAAGGGCTGAATGTTTCTCCTCACACACATCACGTTCATTTGCATACCATAAGCTCACTTACGAGCTTTGTCCCTTTTAAGTTGAGATGAAAGCTTAACCTATGTGAGATAATTTGTTTCTCCGCATGAGTTTTAGTAAGTAATCTTTGGGGTTCATATACCTTATGTCTACATGAGATAAATTGTTTCTCCGCATGGACATAAGGGAATGTATCCTCTCGAATTGAACTCGATCTGCACGAGCCTGTAATGGGCTAGGATTGAGGGTTTGGTAGCCCAAGGGGGCACCGACATTAAGAACAATTCGAGTACCTTTTTCCCGTTAGAGCCAAAACCATGCATATAGTGAACCGTAGAACGATCACCCTAGGTATAAACATACCGAACCTCTGATCGTCAGTAGGTACCCAAATTAAGTGTACAAAAAGGAGGAGCGTTTCTGAATCTTTTTTATTTTCTGTTGAATAATAGCATGCGAACTAGATACCATGCGGTTAGGATCATTTCTTTGAAAATAATTATTTTGGGTAGAAAGCATGTTTGGGTAGGATCACTATCTAATAAAAGTATGATCGAGTAGATATCATGATTGGGTAGGTGTTATATTTATCTTTAAATAGAATCTTTTAATTTTATTGATTATTTCGCCCATACTAATTTATTTCTTTTCTTTTGCGTATGCCATTTTTTTCGTCATTCTTTGCATTGCATCACTTTTGCATCTGTATTTGCATCTTCGCATTTGCATAATCATCATGAATAAAAGAAAGGTGTTGATTAAACCAAGTAATCATCATATTAGAATAGCGATCATTGAAATGGAAAAGTGTTTTCATAGCAAGGAAGAACTCAATCCAGCGGTTCAAGCTTAGTCCGAAGAAACACAAAGAGCAAAAGGAGACAATTTGCCTGGGGATTACGTATCACAGATGATCACAAATGTCAATGTCAATGTCAATCTCAAGCAAGAATGATCTATAAGAGCTGATAGATATTTGGGATATTTAGAGAGTAGTTACCAAGGATAAATTTCACAAGAAATATGGTGACATGGTCTATCTCCTCTGCGTAAAGATAGATGAGTTGTTGCTTAAAGCTCTGGTCTGATGTCGGAATTCCACATACAAATGCTTCACTTTCAAAAGATAAGATTTGACACCAACAATAGAAGCGTACTGCTCTATTTAACTTTGAAAGTCTCCAGGTGGATAGAATTCATTGTAGACTTCCGAAAGTCCAATTATTCAAAAACAAGCTTGTGAAGATTACAAGATCACTGATAGTAGAACACATCCAACAAATGATAAAAATGGAGTGTTTTCTGTGGCATTGCCTCAAGAAGGGGATACTCGAGCATAGATATGGAGATAAGAGATTGTACATATATGCTCTTGCCATGTATGGTCTAGTGATATTCTCAAAGACTGTGCTACACGTTGAGGCTGTTGTTGTAGGTCTTTTGGATATATTGGAGAAAGGTATAAGTCTTGCACTGGCTATCTTGGTAGAGACTCTTTGATCCCTAAATGATTGCCATAGATTAGAGGGAAGATGATTCAGATGTTGCACTCAAATACTAACCGTATGGATTCAGAATCATTTCTGGAAAGAGGAAAAAGTTATTGGGATCATGACTGAGATCATGAAGCTAAATAAAAAGGCCAAACCGTATTTATAGAATTGATCTTTCTTGTAAAGATGAAAGCTCTTTTGTAAGAATAAAACTTTTCTAAGAATGGTTACTTTTGGAAATCAATACATTTTGCATTTGAATATGCATTTGCATCTTTGCATAATTATATTTATAGTTTCAATCTTACATCATGAATTTTCATTTTACATGCATTCATTCATTAAAACACCAAAAATAATATAAAATATAATTTCCAATCATTGTAGTTATTCTTGTATTTACTTCATACTCGTACGGTACTCGGAATACAACTAAGAAAATGGAAGCAAGAATGACCCAACTTGAACAAGAACAAAAACAAGCTCAAGAAGAAATGAGAGAGAGATTAAATAAGATGGAAGCAGAGATAACAAACTCCCAAGCCGGTCTATTAAAAAGGATCGAAGAGATGTTTAAGAAACATTCTACAGGTGGAAATACCACTGTAGAAGACCCCATATATCCTCTGAGTTTCATACCTGTTCACATTCCTGAGTACATCTATGCTCATCAAGGAATCCGATCACCAGTATGCTTTACTATCCAAAACCCACAATATAATGATGGAGCTTTATTCCACACTGATTGTCCTGCTGCTTCTGGGTTAAAGCCAGGTGAAAATTGTGTTAATATTGAGGTCCCTGACCAAAATGAATTAGCTGAAAAATGAAGAGATTTATTGAAAACATTTTGATATTTCGATATAACAAATTAAGATAAATGAATTTTAAGATTTTCCAAAAATATTTTCTAAGTATATTCGATATAATTATTCAAATATCAAAATATTACTCCAAATCTTTCAAAAATCATTTTTAATCCTTACTCAAGTGTAAAATTAAGTTTTAATCTTAAAATTATTTCAAAATAATTTTACAAAGTATTTCGAACCGTTTCAAAGCCAAAAATTCCAGAATGTCCAGAGGGAACCGATTCCCCCCCAAGGGGGTACCAATTCCCCCTGAATGGTTTGGCTCCGAGAAAAAACAGAATGCTCGGAGGGAACCGATTCCCCTAAGGGGTATCGATTCCCCCTGTTCAACGGTCGAAATATTTGAATTTTACACTTAGGGAATCGATTCCCTATGAGGGGGTACCAATTCCCCCACGCTCCAAGCATAAATATTAATTGTTTTCGCACTTAAACGACTCCATTAACTTCATTAATGATCCCCAACGTTCAAAAGTGATTCAAGGAGTATTTAAACAAGCATATAAGCCTTTGATCAACAACATTTTTATCAAGAATCAAGAGAGAATCAAAGAGAAAGCATCAAACCTCAAGTTTGAGCAATTCAACCCATTTTTCATTCAATATTCATCTTTGCTTTCAAGAACACTACTTGTACTCAATTGTATTCATCTTTGAGTGTTCTTTTATTTGTTCTAGAATTGTGCAAACATATTTCCTTGTGAGGATTTCCTTGTAAGTTTGTAAATTTGTAATCTTCTCTTTGAGAAAGAGTGTTATCAAGAATTGAGGTATATTCTTGAGGGAGTTGTAAGGTTATCTCTTTGGCCTCAAAAGAAAGAACAAATTAGTGAATTTTTTGGAAAATCCTTAGTGTGGATAGCTAAGGTAGTGGACATAGACTTTGATTGAGAAAGTCGAACCACTCTAAATCGCTGTGCAATTACTTTCAATTTTCTGCAAAAGCTTCCACCAAATTTTTAATTGCCAATTCACCCCCTCTTGGCCAATTACATCGATCGATTAACTCAATAATTGGTATCAGAGCCTAACTCATTTTAAGGTTTAATCGCCTCTTAAGTCAATTCGGGAAGTGTTACATCGATTATCAAGTCATCAATGGCCTCCACTTCAAACTTCGACTCCGGTTTCGATTCAATGCCCGTCAACAAGCCTCCTTTCTTCAATGGTGCTAACTATGCCTATTGGAATAATAAGATGATGTATTTTATTACAAGTGACATGGGAGCATGGAATGTTGTAGAAGAAGGATATATCAAGCATCTCACTCATCCAAGATTGTGGAGCGAAGGAGAGACGAAAATGCTCCAGCTCAACTCCAAAGCCATCCATATTATATTTTGTGCTCTTAGACCAGATGAATATGGAAGAGTTTCATCTTGTACAACCGCCAAAGAAATATGGGATAAACTACAAGTCACTCATGAAGGCACCGACGAGGTAAAATAATCTAAAATTAGTCTTCTAAAACATAGCTATGAAAATTTCAGGATGAAACCAAATGAAGATATCAAAGCTATGATAGATAGATTCTCAACGATTGTCAATGGTCTCAAATCATATGGAGAGATCATTCCAAATGAAAAGCTTGTGAGGAAGTTAGTTTACTCACTTCCAAAATCATGGCAATCCAAGAAGACCGCAATCATCGAGGCTAAGAACCTAAAATCCTTAACTCTTGAAGAGCTAATCGGTTCCCTCGTCACTCATGAAATGATGCTTGAAGATGAGGTGGACCTCGATAAGATTGAAGAGACACCAAAGGATAAGGAGAAGAAAAAAACATTGGAGTTGCTCTCAAATCCACAAAAGAAGAGAGTGATTCGGATGAAGATGACGATGAGAAGAAAATGACATTGTTTACTAAACGGTTCAGAAAAATGATGAGACCTTACCGAGGAAGAAAATTCAAACGAAATGATGGCCTAAAAAATGAACCAAAAGAGAAGGACCCGATCATTTGCTATGAATGCAAAAAGTTGGGGCATGCCAAATATGATTGCCCACAATTGAAGAGAAAGGGTCAATCAAAGAATAAGCACAAGGCTCATGTGGCTACATGGAGCGATGAAGAAGGTTCCGATGAAGAGGAACAAGAAGTAGCAAACTTGTGCTTGATGGCATTCGGGGAATATTCTAAGGTAACCTCTAACTCATCTAAATTTGATGATTTATCTTATGATGAGCTATTAGAGGAATATAATGGGTTGGCTTCGGATTATGAGAAATTGTTTTTAAAATATAAAAATGATGTTTCAAAATTGAAAAATGAAAATAAACTCATATCCAAAACCAACAACGATCTTGAAAGTAAAATCAAAGATTTGCAAATCAAACTAGAAGAGTTTGAAAAGAAAAATTTGGATTTGTAAAATTTACTTTCAAAGGTCAATGATGATCATCAAAAGAAAATTGATGATCTTAAAGCTTTTTTTGATAAAGTTGGAACAAAACGTTTTGAAAAAGGAGAAAATTCAAAATCCAACTTTGTTAGAAAAAGTTTTGAAAACTACAATCATAGAGGTCCCCGAAAAACCTCTAATGGAAAAATCGTTAGAAGTATATGGGTTCCTAAAGGACTCATTACTACTAAAGATAAAGATATCCTACACAAATGGATACCTAAGGGGATTAGGATTTTGGAAACTAATGAATATGGACCCAACAGAATTTGGGTACCAAAAATTAGAAATTAATCTATGTTTGTAGGAAAAGGAGCATTGCTACAAGGCACAGGAAACAAATTCAAATTCATGGTACCTTGATAGTGGATGCTCGAGACACATGATCGGGGACAAAAGCCGGTTCATTGAGCTTAACGCCAAAAATGGAGGAGAAGTGACTTTTAGTGATAACTCAAAAGGTCACATTGAAGGTATAGGCACTATAGGTAATACCTCTTCCATACAAATTAAGAACGTTTTATATGTGAATGGATTAAAGCATAATCTTTTGAGTATTAGTCAATTATGTGATAAAGGATTCAATGTCATGTTTGAAACCAATGGTTGTAAAGTTATTGACATTGCATCTAATCGAATTATGCTTGTTGGTCATAGAATATGAAACATATACATGGTGCATTTAGACTCTATTGATATGACTAATTTATGCCTAGTTGCTAAGGATGAGCATGATAGTTGGTTATGGCATAGAAGACTAGGACATGCTAGTATGAGTGTTTTGCAATAGTTAATTCAAGGAGACTAAGTAAGAGGGCTGCCTAAACTGAAATTTGATAATGATAAAATCTGTGATGCTTGTGCTAAAGGAAAACAAAAGTGAGCTCCTTTTAAATCCATTAATGACGTATCAACTAGTAGAGTATTACAATTGATCCATATAGATCTTTTTGGGCCAACTAGGACTACTAGCTTGGGTGGAAAACAATATGCATTTGTCTTGGTAGATGACTATTCTAGATATACTTGGGTTCTATTCTTAAGTACTAAAGATGAAGCATTAGAAAAATTCATCACTTTTTCAAAAGTAATCCAAAACGAAAAAGGTTACTCTATAACTAGTGTTAGGAGTGATCATGGAATTAAATTTGAAAATCTTGGAGTTACTGAGTTTTGTATTTCTAATGGTATTAGCCATAATTTTTCAGCACCTAGAACCCCTCAACAAAATGGAGTTGTTGAGAGGAAAAATCGAACTTTAGAAGAAATGACTAGAACCATGCTTTGTGAAAACAATTTGCCAAAATATTTTTGGACGGAAGCTACAAATACCGCTTGTTATGTTATAAATCGAGTAATGATTAAGCCTATTTTAAAGAAAACTCCATATGAACTTTTCAAAAATAAAAAAGCCTAACATTAGTTATTTTCATCATTTTGGATGTAAGTGTTTTATTTTAAACAACGGTAAAGACAATCTTGGCAAATTTGATGCTAAAAGTGATGAAGGAATTTTTCTGGGTTATTCCTTAAATTCTAAAGCTTATCGAGTATTTAATAAATACAAATGACGTTAGACATGATGTTGAAGAACCATCATCAAAGGAAGAAATGAAAAATGAGGAAACTCATGATCCTCTCGAGAATCCAACCATTTAATAAAGAGAAGTCTCTTACCCAAGGGAATACAACTATGTCAAGGATGGTGAGATTATAGGTGATCCATCCAAAGGGGTAACAACTCGATCTTCTCTTAGAAATATTTGTAATTATGTTTCATTTATCTCATGCATAGAGCCTAAGAATATTAAAGAATCATTAAATGATGAACATTGGATTATGGCTATGCAAGAAGAGTTAAATCAATTTGAGAGAAGTAAAGTTTGGACACTAGTTGAAAGGCCTAGTAATAAATCTACTGTAGGTACTAGATGGGTATTTAGGAATAAGCTTGATGAGAGTGGTAATATAGTGAGAAACAAGGCTAGACTTGTTGTTCAAAGGTATACTCAAGAAGAGGGCATAGACTATGATGAAACATACGCCCCCGTAGCTAGGTTGGAAGCAATTTGAATGTTATTAGCATTTGCATGTTTTCATGAATTTAAATTATATCAAATGGATGCTAAAAGTGCATTTTTAAATGGTTTTATTAAAGATGAAGTGTATGTGGAACAACCTCCAGGTTTTGAAGATTCAAAATTTTCAGATCATGTTTTTAAATTGACAAAAACACTTTATGGTTTAAAACAAGTTCCTAGAGCTTGGTATGAAAGATTGTCAAACTTTTTAATTGAAAAAGGTTTTTTCAAAAGGGAAGGTTGACACTACATTGTTTTTAAAGCATAAAGGTAAAGTTTTATTGGTAGTTCAAATTTATGTTGATGATATAATATTTGGTTCTACTAATGATGTTATTTGCCAAGAATTTTCTAAGCTAATGCAAAGCGAATTCGAGATGAGCATGATGGGGGAGCTCTCATTTTTCTTGGGACTCCAAATCAAGCAAAGAAAAGATGGCATCTTCATCAATCAAGCTAAATACGTCAAAGATATGCTCAAAAAGTTTGGACTGAAAAATGAGAAACCTCATGACACTCCAATGAGCTCTTCTACAAAGCTTGACTTGGATGAAGGAGGTAAATGTGTGGATGTTAAATTATATAGGTCAATGATTGGTTCTTTGCTCTATCTAACTGCAAGTAGACCAAACATTATGTTTAGTGTTTGCTTATGTGCTAGATTTCAATCATGTCCTAAGGAATCACATTTACTAGCTGTTAAGAGAATCTTTAGATACCTTAAGGACACTCCTAGTTTAGGACTTTGGTATCCTAGAGACTCTAGCTTTAGCTTGCATGCCTTTTCTGATACGGATTATGGAGGATGCAAATTAGATAGGAAAAGCACCTCTGGTACTTGCCAATTCCTTAGAAATATGCTGATTTCTTGGTTTTCAAAGAAACAAACTTGTGTTGCATTATCTACCACTGAAGCCGAATACATTTCAACTGGTAGTTGTTGTGCACAAGTTTTATGGATGAAACAACAACTTTTTGATTATGGAATTGAAGTAGGTACCATTCCTATCAAGTGTGACAATACTAGTGCTAATTGTCTCACTAAAAATCCCATCTAACACTCTAGAACTAAGCACATTGAAATAAGACATCACTTCAATAGAGACCAAGCCACTAAGGAAGATGTAGTTCTAGAATTTGTTGATACTTTGCATCAATTAGCGGATATCTTTATAAACCTTTAGACAAGGAACGTTTTTGGACACTTAGGAGAGAAATAGGTTTAATTGACCTATCTTCACTTAGTGTTTAAAATAATTTTAGCACTTTTACGAATAAATGAAAAAAGCATACAATAGTATTTTTGATTGCATTCATTACTTTTAGTTAGGGGGAGTTTATGATTCTTGGTGAAAATTAACTTTATGTTCAAATAAATTTTAATGATAAATTTGATTGATTGAACATGATTAATTTTCAATATATGAGTTGCCAATACCACTAGAGAAAATTAATTTAGCATTTTGAGTTTTTAAAATAAGATTTTATCAGTTTTGGTGCAGAGGGAATCGATACCCCCTACAGGTTTTGGTTTTAAACACCAGAAACCCCTTTTTCTTTACTCTCAAACCCTCTCTTCTCCTCTTCGTCGTTCTCCTCTTCTCTCTCCCCAAATCATCACTTTGATTCAAAAACAACGTTTCTTATCGGAATTACTTGAAATATCATATCCTAAACCTGTTGGAATCATCAAATTAGTGCAAAAATCATCACATTCTCACAAAATCCGAAAATCTTCAAGGTATTTTTCTAAAACTTCTATTTTATCAAATTTTAACATAGGACTAGTTTTAATTAGTTCTAGATTGAAATAGTGATCGGGCTTTGATTATTTAGTATTTAGAAACTAGATTTTACAACTAATTTCATCAAAATCTCACAATGTTTCATTTATTTTTTTTATTTTCGATTTTTTTTTTTAAAATGATTCTTTCAAATTGTTTTGTTTTTATTTAATTATGTTGTTATTATAAAAAAAAACTATACATATATTGACTTTCAAAATCTTATTTTTCAATAGTTTTTCAAAACTTTGCCCATTAGGATTGGTTTAGAGAACCTTGAAATATTGAGGACTCAATTGTGATTTGGGATTGATTACATTGCATACATGTGTTTTATAATTGCAGGTTATTCATTCTATTCCGATTTTCTTAAACCATGTCAAATCCTAAACGTGATAGGTCTTCATCTAGTCGTTCAAACCAACAACCAAATCCACCTCCAATTCCTCCTCCTATTCCAGATATTGCTATTCCTAATCCTGTTGATCCTAATATGACTATCCAAAACTCGTGCTTCAATCAACCTGGTCCTAGAAATAATTGTTTTTGGTATTATCAGTATTTTGACTCTTACAAAATTAGAGAAGAACGTATCCCATCTCTTCAAGCTATGATAGATATCAATTTTAGATATCTTCTTCTTTTACAAGAGTGAAAATTTGATAAACTTTGTGACCTTGAACCTATAGTTTACCATCAACTTGTTCGTATCTTCTATTCTAATGCCGTCTGTATTAAAAACCGAGCTCAAACCAAAACCATAGGAGTTCGTTCCTATCTCCTAGGACAATTCTTCCATCTTGACTCGGCTTATATTGCCAATGAATTAGGATTAGATAATGATGGTATATCTAATGAAAAATAGATTTTAGGTTCTCGTTATAAAAGAAGGGATAATGCGAGTGTCTTAGATCTTCATGATCGTTTTCTTCAACTAATGATTTCTTGGTGGTTTCGACCATCCGGAGGTCTTTACTCCACTCTTAGAGCCTTGGATCTTTGGTGGTTACATTGTTTCCAAAACAATATTAAAATAAACCTACCTCAGATTATTTTTGCTGAAATTGTTGAAATCGTAAATCTTGTTCCTAATAAGAAACTCTATTCATCTCTAGTTTACGGTTGCATTCTGAGTAATCTATTTTTTAAAGTCGGGCTTAGAGTTGGTCTAGATGCCATCTTTCCTCTCAAAAATCAAATTAATCTTCTTTTCTTAACGAGAGCGGGATGGATAAAGAATAAAGAAACCGGTGAATGTGTTCGATCCTCTGAGGATACTCCGGGAGCTAGTTCTTCACAAGCTCCACCAGAAGCTGACGATGACCCCGAGCTTGAACAATTAATGCAAGCTATTGACGAAGCCGACGATGAGGTGGAGCAGCACGAGGTACAAGCTCAACAAGAAGATCAAGTGCCTCCATATTTTCAATCATTTATGGAGACATTTGATTTCCGTTATGCATCCTTGGATTCTCGTTTCACTTCCATAGAATCTCATTTCTCGACTATGGATGCTCAACAATTGGAAATTCTCTGGGAGATGTGTGCAAACAATGAAGCAACCAACGCTCATATTAATGCACTCACTCATGAAATGACAGCTATGTGAGCTCATTTCCCTCCTCCCGATCCTCCTACGGATGCTTGAACTTTGATATTTGCTTTGCTTGTTTGGATTGAACTTAGATATTTGCATTATTGTTAAAACATTTTGAATGTTTTTGGATTGTTTTTACTTTGGTTGTTTATGAATGTCTGAACCTATACTTGATTTGAATTTTATGTTTCAGTTTAATGTTTATCAATTTTTGAATCATTATATATATATATGACCAATTTCATTGCATATTTATTTATGAATATTGATTATTGAACTAATGGCTAATGTATCTCTTGATTGTAATGTTAGCAGCTTAAGCTATATATATTTATCATCAATTGGCTAAATGATTTCAAAACCTTGTTTAAAATCTTTTAAAAGTCTTTTTGATTTAATAAAAAGGGGGAGAAATGCTAAAGTGTTTAAAGGGGAGAAGTGTTAGAGTAAGGGGGAGTAATTTTAAAACTTGATTTCAAAATCTTAAAATTACTAAAATGTTTTGTTATATCAAAAAGGGGGAGATTGTTGAAAACATTTTGATATTTCGATATAACAAATTAAGATAAATGAATTTTAAGATTTTTCAAAAAGATTTTCTAAGTATATTCGATATAATTATTCGAATATCAAAATATTACTCCAAATATTTCAAAAGTCATTTTTAATCCTTACTCAAGTGTAAAATTGAGTTTTAATCTTAAAATTATTTCAAAATAATTTTACAAAGTATTTCGAACCGTTTAAAAGCCAAAAATTCCAGAATGTCCAGAGGGAACTGATTCCCCCCAAGGGGGTACCGATTCCCCCTGAATAGTTTGGCTCCGAGAAAAACAGAATGCTCGGAGGGAACCGATTCCTCTAAGGGGTATCGATTCCCCCCTGTTCAACGGTCGAAATATTTGAATTTTACACTTAGGGAATCGATTCCCTATGAGGGGGTACCGATTCCCCCCACGCTCCAAGCAGAAATATTAATTGTTTTCACACTTAAACGGCTCCAATAACTTCATTAATGATCCCCAACATTCAAAAGTGATTCAAAGAGTATTTAAACAAGCTTAGAAGCCTTTGATCAACAACATTTTTATCAAGAATCAAGAGAGAATCAAAGAGAAAGCATCAAACCTCAAGTTTGAGCAATTCAATCCATTTTTCATTCAATATTTATCTTTGATTTCAAGAACACTACTTGTACTCAATTGTATTCATCTTTGAGTGTTCTTTTCTTTGTTCTAGAATTGTGCAAACATATTTCCTTATAAGTTTGTAAATTTATAATATTCTCTTTGAGAAAGAGTGTTCTCAAGAATTGGGGTATATTCTTGAGGGAGTTGTAAGGTTATCTCTTTGGCCTCAAAAGAAAGAACAAATTAGTGAATTTGTTGGAAAATCCTTAGTGTGGATAGATAAGGTAGTGGACGTAGACTTTGATTGAGAAAGTCAAACCACTCTAAATCGCTATGCAATTACTTTCAATTTTCTGCAAAAGCTTCCACCAAAATTTTAATTGCCAATTCACCCCCTCTTGGCCGATTCTGTCGATCGATTAACTCAACAAGATTATCCAAAGAATGAAAGATATAGAAGAGATGGTAAAATCCAAGGAGATGGTCAATGCATTCTATGGGAGTGACCCAAGGAATCTAAGTTTGGTTCCAGATCTAATATTGCCCCCTAAATTCAAAGCATCTGACTTTGAAAAATACAACGGGACAACTTGCCCATCGGCCTACCTCATCATGTTCTGCAGGAGAATGACATGTTACAGTGAAAATGAGAAGCTTCTGATACATTGCTTCAGGATAGTCTGACTGGAACGACGATCAAATGGTACAATCAGTTGACCAAATCTCATATCAAATCATGGAGAGATTTGGCACAAGCATTTTTGGAGCAGTATCGTCACGTCACTGACCTAGTACCTGACAGGTGGATGTTGCAAAACATGGAAAAATGACACAGTGAAACCTTCATGCAGTACGCCCAAAGATGGCGCGATGTGGCATCACAAGTACAACCCCCATTGTTGGAGAAGGAGGCTACAATTATCTTTGTGAATACATTGAAGGATCCATATATAGGGCATCTGGTAGGAAATACTACCAAGAACTTTCTCGACTGGTCATTTCTGGGGAATTAATCGAGAACGATATTAGGAATGAAAAGTTAAGAAAGGAGCCGATGTCAATACAATGAGTTCTTATTCTACTAATCGTGGGGCCAAACCTTATAAAATGACCCTAGAGAAGACCCCTATTAGTAAAATTCCGATGACATATGAAGATATGCTCCCAGTACTAGTTGAGAAGAATCACGTGACTCCAGTTAGGTCTAAACTGAAAGAACCCCCATTTCTTGAGGGGAATGATGCTAATGCAGTATGTAGCTACCACATGGGAAGCTCGGGGCATACTATTGAGAATTGTGGGGCATTGAAGCGCAAGGTGAAACGCTTAATCGACTCAGGGGCATGGACATTTGAATGATGATAGGGTATTTATGATGCAAACTAAGAAAAATCATTGCAACCACTACAAACTTTTGATGCACTCGCATATTGTCTTGTTTGAATTTCTTTTCTTTTTCTTTTCGTTAAAAGTTTGTAAGTCACTTGACAATCAAACATTTTAAATGCTACATTCTGAGGTTATGAGTAATGAGTAATTTTCAGACTCGAAATTATTTAAATATTATCTTGATTAAAAGCTCTTTTAAGAATCAGAGTTATAGATCTTTGACAAAATGACAAGATTGAAAACTGATAAAACAAGGACCCTTGACCTTACCACATATGAAACATTGGAACCTCAAACTCTTCTCTTGCAGGGACCACTTTAGCCTTCTCCTCTCATGAGGAAATTATCAAAAGGCTTGGCATTCAGGTATAAATAGGAGCGGACAACATGGTGCATCTCTTGTGTATGACATTGCAAAACTACCTAGACTACACTTTTTTTGAAGACGTTCAGTGATGATACTAATCTTCACAAATGGAATGTTGGAATAGATGAATTTAGTTTAGGTCAGTTGTTTGGGAACTGATTTCTAAATGTGAGATTTCCTGACAATCAAGGACACCTAGACTATAACATGTTCTTCTCGATGAGCTTAAGAAATTTTAAATCTGAATGCTCAAAAAACTTATAAATTATTATTATAGATTATACAATAAAGCTGAGCTATTCCGCTAAATCAATTGGTTATAGAGGTAACTCAAAATCCCTGACTTTATGAATATATTGCATTCAAACTATGACATTATTCGGATACTCAACAGTTCAGTGTTTGCTCTACTGTAATTGTCAAGTCAAAGATCTTGTGATGAGAAGAACCCTTCAGTTAGCCCATTAAGGGCGATTATAAGATATATACAATAAAGCTGAATTCAGCTAGCCAGACAATGACAAATTAAATCAAATTGATCTAATAATGAGTTTCGATGAAAATGGACTAAGGAAATCGAGGAACACTTGTTATAGTCAACCTCACACAAGCACGCAGGAATTTTATGTTTAGACTGATGTCCCTGCACTACCTTTGTTAAAGGAAGTCTATGAAACTTGAACAAATGAAAGATTACAGAGAACCGAAACAGAAGCGTTCTAGAAAGTCTAGTGATTGATTATACTGGTTGCGTTATTTTGTCCGCATCCAATTAAAATGCCAAGCCAAAGAAGAGGGGCGTGTCGTAAGGTTCACAAGGACCGAAGAAGAGATGACATTTCGATGACTGAAACCTTAGAAACATAAAGGAGCTAACTTGAAACCAACCCATCAATTTTGACACTTGTCAAAGAGGTATAACTTTGAAAGATTAAAGAGATGTTGATTCTTTTGATATTTACTGAACTCATGTTTTGTGATTTACTTCAATTGTGAGCCTAAAAGAATGACATTTTTCTTAAACGAATTTTCCATATTTTGAAAATAAAAAGAAAGAAAATATTTTCAAACAGGACAATCTCTCTGGAGAGTTTAGCCTGGAAATTAACTGAGGTCCCTCAGACCTAGAAGCTCAGAATCAGAATTTGGGGCAAAGAATTTGAATGTTAAGGAGCCAGGAAAGTAGATGTTTGCAAAGAAATATGATGGTACACCTTGGTGTGAGAGAAGAATAAAGACGAACAGATCAAGAAGAGAACCAAGATTTCTTGAGCACCTTTTCACTGCTATTAATCAAGAAAAACATGCATTACACCAACATGAATTTTCATCTTTGCATCAAACATCCATTCATGATAGTTACATTCAACTACATTTTTCTAGATATTTCACGAAAAAAATGAGATTAAAAGACAACAAGACATCCTCAGTAAGAGGGAACAATCATCTTCAGATTCAACATTTCCAGACAAATTTTTTCTCGCTTGAGACATTCTCATTTAATACGGATGATTTATCTCATTGGAGATTGTTTTTCTTAAAACAGACTTTATCTCACTTGAGATTGTTTTACTTGAAAGAATACATTTCATTTTACTCAAGATTGTTTTTCTTAAAATAAAATTTGTCTCGCTTGAGACAGGTTTTATTCAAAACAAGACATTTCACTTCACTACATGTTGGTTTTCTTAAAACAAGATTTGTCTCGCTTGAGATGATTTTTTACTCGAAAGAAGACATTTCATTTGACTCAAGATTGTTTTTCTTAAAGCAAAATTTTTTCTCGCTTGAGACAGGTTTTATTCAAAACAAGACATTTCACTTCACTACATGTTGTTTTTCTTAAAACAAGATTTGTCTTGCTTGAGACGATTTTTTTACTCAAAAGAAGACATTTCATTTCACTCAAGATTGTTTTTAAAGAAGATTTTATCTCGCTTTAGATAGTTTCCCTCGAAACAAAAGATTTTATCTCGCTTGAGATAATTTCCCTCGAAACAGAAGATTTTATCTCACTTAAGATAGTTTCCCTTGAAACAAAAGATTTTATCTCGCTTGAGATAGTTTCCCTCGAAACAGAAGATTTTATCTCACTTGAGATAGTTTCCCTCGAAACAAAAGGTTTTATCTTTCTTGAGATAGTTTCCCTCGAAACAGAATATTTTATCTCGCTTGAGATAGTTTCCCTCGAAACAGAAGATTTTATCTTGCTTGAGATAGATTCCCTCGAAACAGAAGATTTTATCTCGCTTGAGATAGTTTCCCTCGAAACGAGTTTTGTCTCTATTGAGACAGTTTCCCTTGAAACAAATTTTGTCTCTCTTGTGACAGTTTCCCTTGAAACAAATTTTGTCTCGCTTGAGATAGTTTCCCTTTAAACGAGTTTTGTCTCTTTTGAGACAGTTTCCCTTGAAACAAATTTTGTCTCTCTAGAGACAGTTTCCCTTGAAACAAGAAATGTATCTCACTTGAGATGGTTTTTCTTAAAACCAATTTCGTCTCGCTTGAGACAATTTTCCCATGAAACAAGAAATTTTATCTCACTCGAGAGAGCTTCTCTTAAACAGATTTCTTATTCATTTTCATCTAGATGTTGAACATTTGACAGAAATTCCAAAGTTAGCAGAGGTTTGAAAATCTTCAAGGAGAATATAAATTGATCAAATTTCCAATGGAGAGTTCATAATGAGAAGAACTCATCCGACAGAGGGAGAAGAAGTTCATAATGAGAAGTGCTTGTTCGACCTATCATTCGATTCACAATATTTCGAATTAGTGACACCTCGCTTTCTAATGAAGAGTTCATAATGAGAAGAACTCGTCCTAAAAGAGAAAGTTCATAATGAGAAGAACTTGTTCCTTTCAAATTCACCACAGAAGGAGGTGAACCAACATTTCCAAAAGAGTTCATATTGATAAGAACTCATCCAAGGAAGAAGAACTTGTTCAACCTTGGTTTCAAGTTACCACAGAAAGAGGAGGCATCAACATTTCCAGAGGAGAGTTCATAATGAGAAGAACTCATTCAATGAGGGAGAAGAAGTTCATAATGAGAAGACCTTGTTCAACCTTATATCAACATTTTTAGAAGAACCCGCAACTTGAAGAGAAGAAATTGAGTCAAAAAAATGGTGCTCTATTATATTTGCTTCATTCCAGTTTCACAACAATGAGCAAAGAGGGGCAACTGTGAGCACCACTTTTTTATTTACTATATCTCATGCCCATCCTCCACCAAGCTTCCACCATCCCATTTGTTTCCACCAACCTTCCACTATCATATTTCTTTCCACCCACTCCACCACCCCAACGTTCCACTCATCATCCACCAACAGAAAAGATTAAAAAAATATTATCATTCATCCACTAAATTAAATCAAATCCAGAAAGTGGGTATGATGTCCTACCACTATTCGTGAAAAATCCACTACATAGCAAATATAAATGGAGGCTCATTCGAAGAAAAGGGGGGCAGGCATCAAAATACAAAAACCAGAGGAAGGCACGTCTTTTCAACAGTAACAAAGAGCAGGTAAGAAACACGAAAAGAAAGCTTTGTTCTTGTAACAGGTATTGTGAAACCCACATAAACATTGTAACTGGGGTCTTCCCCGTTTTCATCGAAAGCAATACAAAATTTATAAAGGTATTCTCTCATTTCATTTTTTTACTTTACAGTGCTTGTGTGTGCGTGTATATGGAATTGAAAATCAAATAATAAAACAAAATAAGAGATAAAAGCTCACCGAAATTATCTGAGCCTTAAGCGTTAGGTTGGCAGCATTAGGTTCCATAGTTTTAGATCAAGGTAAATAAAAAAGAAAGGGTTAGAATATAACCAAGAGTGAGCCAGGTGAGGGGTCTCACCATGTGGGGTGTTTGTTTCGAGGCTAAGTTCCCGTTCAAAGGAAGGGAAATCAGAGAGTTGAGGGTCGATTTGGGGCTTCTAGGCATTCATTTGTAAGGGTCTCGAACAGTAGAGAATTGTAGAGGAAGAGATGTGGAAGGAAATAGAAGAAGAGGGCTGCGTGAGTTTGGGAAGAAGATTAACGTGAGGGAGAGAATAGATGGAGATTAGAGTGAGCGGTTGGTGAGGGTTTAGTTTACAATTAGATTAGGTTTATTTTATTTTAGATTTTATATTTATGTCTTTTGGTAAATTAACTTTTAGTCATCGAGTCCTTAGGGTAAAACTGTCATTAAGTCCCTATATTTTTTAGCTTTTATTTGCATTTTGGTTCAAGTATTAGTGTATTTGATTTTTACTGTTTTTAGACATTTCACTTTTAATTTTTTTATGTTTCGTTTAAGTCCCTTGGTCAAAGTTTGTATGTTTATAATTCTATATATTTATTTTTGCGCGGATTCAATTTTAGTCCCTGAATTTAATTGTTTCAAATTTCTGTTTGTTTATACATTTGACTTTTAGTTTTCTGCATGTTTCTTTTTAGTCCTACGCATATTTATGGTTTATTTTGATGTTAGTCCATTAGAATGGTATTTTGTTTTGTTCCATTATTCTTTATATTATAGTACTTATATTTTTATCTTAATTATTATTTTGTTTTTAGTCACCTAGTCATTTAGTTCGTTAGTCTATGTTACTTCATAAATTAGTATCTAAGTTTTGTGTTAATATATATGTTAATTCGAATATATATATATATAATTAATCTAAATTTACTTGATTTTGTTATAAGCATGTAAAGTAATTTCAATTGTATTAATGTTATTATGTAGATCGGTTTATTTGTTACTTATTATATTTTAAAATCTTATATATTTATACGTATATATTTTACTATTTAAATTTTTAGTAAACACTATTTTATTAGTTTTAATGTTATTTATTTAAATATATTTCAAAAACACTTTTAAATAATTAACTCGAAGCAAATTAATTTATGTTTAATAAATGGGTCACATTTTAACTTGATATTTAATTTAGGGTTCCCACATTTACGACAACGTGTAAGTGACACAATACTAATTTTGAGAGCTATGGGGGTGCTAATCCTTCCTCACGCGTAACTGACTCCCGAGCCTATTTTAATCTAATCTTTGGTAAATGCATACCAGCTTTTGTCTTAAAAAATTATTTTTTAAAAATTATTTTTAAAAGATATTTTTAGGTATTCGACCAACTTAACACAAAGGTCGATGGCGACTTTTTTTCAATTTAATTCAAATTAATCCAAAATCGCTCAATTTTCCAATCGTAACTGTTTTTAAACAATTAAACGATTGTTCCGCCGAAAAACGGCTATGACAACATGTCACGTTATCACTTTAGACAAATATGACTTGTTGAGTAAACTATTAATTTCCATGAGATATTTTATCTTAAAATAAAATTTTAAGAGTTAAATTTCTTAAAAACTTTCAAATTACTAATTAAATATTAAGCATGAATTTTGATATTATACTAAAATAAAACTCAATATATTACTTTGCAAGCTTTCATAACCATGTTCTCAACTTTTGTTGAAAGGTCAAATATTACAAAACAGAGTGAACAACATATGGACCCACCGAGTACAACTACAACTTTTAATCCACACTGCAACTCACATTACAGGGATCGAGTTGCAGTAAGCAGGGGTGTTTAAATAATCGAACTAATTCGGTTAATTGATCGAATTGAATTAGTTCGATTAATTTGGTTCGGTTATCGAATTAGTTCGATCGGTTAACGGTTAAAAAAAAATTTTAGAATTCAGTTAACGGTTAATTCGGTTTAAATTCGGTTAATTAACCGAAATTAAATATTAAATATTTTATATATAACATATGGGTTCAACCTAAACCATTTAAAACCAAATTAATAATTTAAGATCCAATAACTTTTAAACCTAAATCAATATTAATTAATTAAAAAAATTATATAAATTTTTTATTTTATAATTATATATTATTTAAATTAATTGTAAACTGTTTTTTTAATTAAAAAATATTAAATATATTATATATAACATATGGGCTAAGCTCAAACTATTTAAAACCCAATTAATAATTTAAGATCCAATAACTTTTAAACTTAAATCAATATTAATTAATTAAAAAATTTATCTGAAATTTTTATTTTATAATTATATATTATTTAAATTAATTATAAACTTTTTTTGAATTAAAAAACATTTAATTTTTATATAAATTAGAAAATTTTTAAAAAAATTCGGTTAATTCGAAAATTAACCGAATTAACCAAAATTTATTCGATTCGGTTAATATTTTCGAAAAAAGTTCGGTTAACGGTTAAAGAAAAAAAAATTCGATTAATTCGGTTATGGTTAATTCGATTCGGTTCGGTTCGATTCGGTTCGGTTCAATTCGGTTTTAACTGAATAAACAGCCCTAGCAGTAAGAGTAGCCCGAGTAGCCCGAGTTACCTTTATAATATCCCATAAACAAACAAAAAAGAAAAAGACGAAGCATTTGCAACAATTAAATAGTGTACCTCGAGATGTTTTTTACCTACTGTTTTATTTATTTATTTATTGGGTGTTTGCAGCATGCTTTGTTTGCTTAATTTCAGACTTCTTTGTAATACCACCTTCTCCATCTCACTCTTGATTGTCCCTCTAGAGGAAATCACACTTGCAGGCAACCTATCTATAGCATTAAGGTCAATACCTCCAGCCTACCACAGGTATTTGTGATGCTCGGACTCTTCATTTGTATTTATATCAAACACTGACACCTGAATTTGAGTAAGGAGTTCTAATGCTGTTAATGCAAGCTATTAGGATGCACATGTTGAGACCCGGAGTTTCTGGCTAAATGGTTTGAAGATGCATTGCTAGAAATGAAAATGACAGCAGTAGGAGGCCAATAAAGTATAGAAATGGTTACTATAAATTTAGAGGTGTAGGCGTGTAGGAGAGATTCATGAACATTACATTTATCAAATGAGAATTCTTGTGAATCTCTTATTACCTTCGGTTTTTATTGTTCTTAGCTCTTACATTTGCTTTTCTCCAAGCAAAGGAATTTGCAGTGATATAATCTCAAAGAAAAAAACTTTATGAACAAATCTCACAGATGATATTTCTGGTTAGAGTTACCAACTAAAACTGTAGTTATCTGGTTTTTCGAATGCCCTCCAACATGGAAATAAACATAGCCAAATCACGACGCTGTGCACCGCTCTCTCTCTCATATCCTCGTACTGAGTTTCGGCCAAACAAGATTGTGGAACTCACAGGGTTTGCAATGGAGAATAGAGTTGACAAGCGATCTTAATCCAGTCCAATACCATTAATTTGTGAGCTCTAAAATTAATTCAACTGTGCTAAGAAAGCCCATATCAGATCTGAATAATTTTTTAATATAATTATCATAGTAGAACAACTCAAATCAATTAATTTTATATAATCAAAAGTTAAAGTGTCATGAATTCACGAGGATTAAATAAAATATTTATTTTTATGTTAATATTTGTTACTTGTACCATTTTCTTAGGACAATTATAAAACGAATAAAATTGTATATCAAGCACAATTTATTAATCTACAATGTTTAATAATAATATTAATAATAATAATAATAATAATAATAAAGGTGAGAGCATGAAAGGTAGTAGGGTATTTTCTGTTGCCCAAAGGGAGGTTGTGTTGTCTCTTTTAGAAGGTGAACAATTGGCGTCCGACTCCACTCATAAGCAAATACCTGGAAGCAGCATTCAGGTTTAAGTTTTTAATTTTATATTATTATGGTCCACAAACTATACCATACCACAACCCCTCATCCTCTCCGTGTGTAATCATAGGTTAGAAATACGGTGCCGTTTCAGCCACTTTTTTTCCTTTTGTTTTTGTTCGGTTGGAACGTCAGTTTATTGGTTCATTTAAGTGTTGTCCGCACTGAATCGTTTATTTATCTTTTTCAATCAATTTATTGAATCTTAAGAGTTAACTCATGTGTATTTTTCCTTTTAAATTTCCAAATTACATCTAATCATACTTTACAAGACTTTATTTTAAATTAAATAGATCAAAATTTTACTATAATTTATTTTGGATTTTATTAGTAGAAGATTATTTAATATTTAATTTTATTTAATGAATTATATTTGTATCAATGAAAAAGTCTCATAGAATACATTTTTAAAAAAAGAATTAATAAAAAATTACATCTTTAACATTTATAATGAAGGAAGAAAATCATTATATCAAAGATGTAAATATTATATCATCTCTATATGATAGATTTTATAGAGATGTGAGGAAGATTTTGGTATAAAATTGGAATTATAGGATAGAGGAAAGCCCATATATCGGAACACAAGAGAGCATAGAAAAACGATCTGTTTCAAGGTACGAGGATGAGTTGGTATTTAATTCCTGATGGTAGAGACATCCCTCTTAATTATGACTGATTCATTTTATATTTTTGTTTTTTCACTTACAAATTCATAATATTTTAAAAATTTCCAATTCTAGATTGTTCAACAAATTAAACTTAAAAAGCCTAATAAAAAGCTCACATCCATGATTCTTCCCCTGCTTTTGCATTTGCGCTACTCCAAAAATAGCTGTTGATTTTTCCAAATTCAAAACGGAGAGTGAAGATTAGCGATCATTGACCTTAAGGGACAATGCTTGTGATCTATGATCTTCTTATCACCCTAAAAACAAAATAAATTAAAAGTTACAATCAAGGATGCACTGATAAAAAAGAAACCAAAACACTTTTACCATAATCAATAATCACAGAATAAAACTTGGACATCAGAAGTAAAAGAATCATATTCATAGAAGCTTAGACATCATTTTCTATCTCTCATCTTTCATACAAAGAAAACAATACCCCATCCTAATCAAATTGGAACTTACCTTCAAAGTCGTGTTCTCCACACTCCAATCACAACCCCCATCATGTTGCACTAAATTAATATTTCACATGTTCTCCATACTCTTTTCCTATCAACTATTTTGGGGCTTTATTATTTTATTTCCTGAATATCTGGCAATACACATACAAGTTGGGTATAAAAATACCGTATACATGATATTATTTGCTGACCCACCACCTTGTAATACTATAGAAACTTTTTTGGTTGAATCATTATTATTTTTATATTATGTTCTAATGGCTTGTGCTGTGCAGGACAGAACTTAACTGGCAAATTTTTTACTTCAAGACTCAAACATTTTAACTTGCAATTACGTAGGTCAAGGAGGGGAAAGGAATAGCAGAAAAAATAAAAAGGAAGAATATTGAGCATGTGTGAAGCACATGGGACATAGAAAGATTAAGCTATGATTGGACGGTGTTATAAATATAGGAAGCATGGAATGAAAGTAGGGAAGAGAATCCACCAACAACCAGACAAATCACAACACCAACGTCAGTGAAACCCCCAACTTACATTTTCCTCGTCTCCTGTTAGAACCGTGACTTCTATTTCCATATCCTTAAAAAGAAAAAGGTGCTGTCGGTTATAACTTACAAAAACTACTTTTTTTCTCTTCATAAAGAAAATATTAATGCTCACCGCTATGTGTACGCGCTTTCATCTTTTATTGTCCAAATTTGCTAGCACCCCATAGCTGCCTGCAGACTCCAAGAAGCTCTCTAACCTCACGATTTTATAACCCTTTCTTCTTTATTCTGTAGTTTATATTTTGCGTTTCATTTTCTTGTCAAAGGTTGATAGAATCTTCTTATTGGACATGGATGTACGTTGGGGATTCAATCGGTTCAAATTCAGGATGATGTTCATGCTGGTTTGTTCACTGTTAGATCAGAATATGAGCTTTTCCTTGTCTTTGAACAGTGAAGGTATATATATATATATATACTCAATGGCTAGAGCTCTGCCTGTAACTGGAGTTTCTTAGTGCCTTAAACTGAGTTTCATTCGTAGGTTTGGCTCTGCTGAGGTTGAGAGAGAGAGTGGTCATCGACCCTTTTGGTGGTTTATCAAACTGGAAGGAAAATGATGGAGATATTGATCCGTGTTCTTGGTTCGGGGTCGAGTGCTCCGATGGGAATGTAGTCATTCTGTGAGTTATCTCGTCTCTTACATTTTCTTTACCTCCATGGTTGACGTTCGGGATGGTCGTCAAGATGGAAATTTCTAAACTGTGAAACAGTCCAAAATGAAGCTTGTTCTGTTTATTTAATGTTAGTGTATTAGAGTAGTCAGTAGTTAACAGTTTCAGATTAGCTTTTGTAGAAACTTGAAAGATCTATGCTCTTTGTAGAGACTTGAAAGATCTTCGCCTTATTGGGAGCTTGGGACCTGAAGTTGGGAAGCTCGGGTATTTAAAATCTTTGTAAGTCTAACATCGGTGATCCGTATATGGTTTGTCAAATCACCTTTATTTTGCTCATTTTTTTAGTTCTGCTTTCTATCTTGTACCTTTTGCAGAATATTGCGCAACAATTCTTTCTCAGGAAGCATTCCTAAAGAAATCGGGGAATTGAGGGAGCTTGAGGTGTTGGATTTAGGATACAATAACTTTAGTGGACCATTTCCACCTGGACTGGGCAATAATCTTTCCTTGACAACACTGTAAGGTCTTCTTTTCAAGTTGTTTGCATTTAGTTTTATTTATTGGAGCTTTTATTTAGTCCCTTTTGCTCCAATTTCTTGCAGAGTACTCGACAACAATGAATTTCTTGGCAGCTTACCACCCGAGTTATATGAGGTTCAGATGCTTTCTGAGTTTCAAGTTGATGAGAATCAGCTAAATAATATTGCAGCTGTTAGTCCATCCTATAAAAACGGAGATTTTCCACAGTAAGCAATTGAAATTACCATGATATTTCCATTTCTGTTGTGCATGGTATATGGAATCAATCAATCAATCAATCAATCAACCAGTCTTAATTAAGATTATCAAAGATTGAGCAACACTTGCAGAAGAAGAAGGCTAGAGGATATTTTAGGCTTACAGGACGCGTCTCTTTGTATTTTTCTACGTCTTTAATAGATGCAATTGACAAGTTAAACTGTTAAAGCAAACTTTCCTTTCTTTTTATTTTAGCCATTAGCTTCATGATATCTTCTCATGCTCAGGAAAACTGCCCAGCCAAGAGTTGTACCTCTCGGGAGGCGGCTGCAGCAGTTGGTAGATCTCTCCAAGGCACACAAATCTAACAGAAGAGCTTCCCGGCAGTCTGTTGGTGGACCACCAACAGTTGCAGCTAATCATCTCTCTTCCCCTTCAATCTCACCTTCACCATCACCATTGTCTCCGTTTGTATCTCCTTTGGGCTCACCATTTTCGTCTCCATCGCCATCCCCCTCCAATAACTTTCTGACTCCATCTTCACCTTCACCTGCATTAGCACCAACTCCAGCTTTATCACTTCCAGTAGATCAACCAGTATATATCTCTGAACCACCACAATCACACAGTGCCCCAACCGATTCCCCTGCTTCAACTCCAAGCCAAATAGCAGATGAGAGGACTGATTCAAAACATCATATGGTTCTAATTTTGATTGCAACTATAGGGGGTTCGTTGTTTGTTTTGGTTTCGGTCCTCGGCATATTCCTCTTTCGAAGCAGTAAGGTGGTTACTGTCAAACCTTGGGCCACAGGATTGAGTGGGCAGCTGCAGAAGGCATTTGTAACAGGTATCTTTCCCTAGCTCCTGAGTACTCTTCATGCATTGCTAAGTTTCTGTGAACCTGTACAAATTGCAGAAACCTCCTGCAAATCAACAAAGCATTCTTGTAACCAAATTATATGGAAATCTTCTGCAAAATGTACTATCTTCACCTTTTGGCTCAAATCCTTGGTGAAACGAAGTCGGGGTTTCCAACCTCTCTCTATCAGCATAGTCTATAGATTTGCATTTCTCTTGTATTAATGTCCGCTTTTCAGGTGTACCAAAGCTCAAGCGATCAGAACTTGAAGCAGCTTGTGAGGATTTCAGCAATATAATTGGTACCTTCTCCGATGGCACAGTTTACAAGGGAACTTTATCAAGTGGGGTTGAAATAGCCGTAACATCAACTGCGGTTGCATCTCGTGAAGATTGGTCAAGGAATTTAGAAACACAATTTAGAAACAAGGTACTGCAGTATTATTAATCACAAAAGTCTGGACTCTTGACATCTTGTAGACCATTTCTGAATATCAAATACTTTTCATTCTTTTAGGTAGATGCTTTGTCTAAAGTGAACCACAAGAATTTTGTGAACCTCATAGGCTATTGCGAAGAAAATGTGCGTTTCACAAGAATGATGGTTTTTGAGTATGCTCCCAATGGAACACTCTTTGAACATCTACACAGTAAGTCCTTTTACTTAAATCTGTATCCTAAGACAAGCATGCTCCACATAAGATACAGCCTGGATGGTGCTGAATTTTGAATTTGATGCAGTACGAGAAGCCGAGCACTTGGACTGGGGAATGCGACTAAGAATAGCCATGGGAATAGCGTACTGCCTTGAGCACATGCATCAGCTAACTCCCCCTATAGCACACCGAAACCTGCAGTCTTGCACAGTGTATCTGACTGAAGACTATGCTGCCAAAATATCTGATTTCAGCTTCTTGACTAATGCTACAGCTGCCAAGGTGGGATCAGCTACCATGGAGGTCTTAGAATCTCAAACAGTAGATGCAGAAAGCAACGTTTATAGCTTCGGTGTAATATTGTTTGAAATGATAACTGGTAGGATCCCATATTCGGTAGACAGTGGCTGTGTTGCAGACTGGGCCTCGGATTACTTGAAAAAGGATCAACACTTGAAAGAAACGGTAGATCCAACTCTTAAATCTTTCAAAGAAGATGAGCTGGAGAGCTTGTTTGAAGTGATCAAAACATGTGTTAATCTTGATCCAAGAGAGAGACCAACAATGAGAGAAATTTCAGCCAAGTTAAAAGAGATAACAGCAGTGGGACCTGATGGTGCAACGCCAAAACTCTCTCCCCTTTGGTGGGCTGAGCTGGAAATATTGTCCACAGAAGCAAGTTGATCAGTGAAGTTGAAACCTGAATAAACTTATTTTTTTCCCCTGCCTTTTTATTATTGTGTTGCTCCTAAGCAGTGGAGTGTCGGGTAGAGGTGCTTTCAATAATCCAATGCCTTGTACGATAAATGATTTTTCTTTTTTTGTATATAGTTGAGAGACGAAGCGTTGTGAGTAAACCTTGGCCTGTTTGCATAAATATTCCTGTCATTCGTTTTGCATAAATAATGGTTGATAAATCATAAATGTATGCATTCGAGGATATTACCAGTTCAATATTATGTGTAATTTTTCAGTCATTTGTCTCCGACTTGGACCTGGCAGCTAGTTGTCTGGTAGATTCATTCTAATGTGCTTAAATAAAGAATTAGTAAATCAACAACTCTAGATTCTAGAGTTGTTTGTACGATAAAAACAGCTTGTTCTAGTAAGGTATGTTACAACTAGCAAAGAACGTTAAGTAAACATAAAAATGGATAGACTACAACAGAACATATCAGAAGCTGATTATAGCATGTAGGTTTATGTAATAGGAAAATAAGTAGATGTATATTCAAGGGACAAAGGAAGAGAAGAAGATTTCTGCAACATACTTGTACCAGTAGGCAGTCTCATTAGTTACATTTAGAGGAAATACTTCCATTATGCATACAGTAGTTACAATATATACACACACACTATTTAAATGACCCAAAGAACCAAATGCTCCCCATGTATTTCTAATGTTCAAAGTTGGCCTGCATATCTTCTATTGAGAACCCTCATAGTGCTATAAGGCCATCTAAAACTCAGGTTCACAAAACTCCTATACTTTTCCAATAAATACTTGACCTAGAAAGTGTGCTAAAAATTCCATTCTTAAATCTTAAAGCATTCTTATAACCCAAAGCTTATATTTCTTCATATACAGATATAGGAGGCAAGGTCCAATCAAACTAGCATCATATAGTCGTTTGCAGAGATCGATATAAATTCTAATGTTTCCTGGCTGGTGGATCCTTTTCCTCAGTTCCTGCAGAACAGCTGCCCTGTCTAAATACTTCGGATATAAGCCCAAATCAAGCATTTTGACCACTGTTTCAGCAGCATCGCCTATATGCCCTCCTTTAATATAAACTCTCAATAACCAGGATAAAATTTTCCTCCTACGTAAGGAGCTTGAAACCTCCAATCTAGAAAGCAACCGCAATATTGCACTAGTCTCCTTCCGGGAAGCACAAATAGCTAAAACAATGTCGTAAAGGTCTCCATCAGCCTCTTTACCAGCAAGCTTCATCTCCCACAGTTGTCTTTCGGCTCCAAGTCCATGACCAGCACAAATATACATAGCAAGAAGCCTCTCATGGACCAACCCATTAATTGAAGAACTTCCTTCTTGAATTGCCCAATTAGACAATTTTATTCCATCACCAAGAAGATCAGATTGATACTTTTCTATAAGTTCTATATTTTCCGTATCGAGTTCAGCAACTAAGCCAGACCAAGCAAAACCTTTCAACTTCCACAAGGCTTTTGCAAATTCGTTAAGCTCTTTGACTATTGCTGTCATTGCCATGAGGTAGCTGTAAATCTCAGGCTTCAACCCGGATTCTCTAAGGTCAATCACCAATCTGATGGCATCCCCATAGTTGCCCTCAACCTGGTAAAAGATTACGGAATTGCAATAAACTATGAGAGAATTAAGAATTAGCTTTCAGTGCAGGGTAAAAACAAGAAACTGCAACTCTCCATATATGGACCAAGTAAGAAACCACAACATTCAATTGTACAACTTCTTCACATAAAAATAATGTCCTGGCAAAGTACAACATAGTGATCGTAGTATAGTTCAGCTTTTCAACCTTATAGACGATCAAGAAAGTAAAGAACCATAAAGGCGACAGACAAGAACAAGAAATACCAACAAATGATTAAGCATAAACAACAGTGATCATTATTTCCAATAATAAGAAGGAAAAATAAACACCTTATCAACAATAGTAACAATTGGGGGGGGGGGGGAATCAAGCAGCCAATAACAAGCGAATTTGATTCAAGCCTATTACTTGAGAATAACAGTAAATTCATCTCTAACATAAAAATTAATATAGATGCATCCTAATAATCAAAGCTTAAGATAGCATACCATCATCTTCCAAGCAAGATAGCCAGCCGGCCCACCCTTCTGCCCCTCACCATCATCTTCATATGAAATTCCCCGGCTCAAAACTTCCTTCACAAACACAAAAGCTCCCTCCCTTTTATCCATCTCCCAATACATCGAAATCACCTTCTCAATCATACTGAAACCCGGTTTCAAGCCCACGCAGTCCATGTCCACGAGGAGATCAACCACATCACCAACATCACAATCAGCTTCTTGACCCAATTACACATAATTGAAACCATAAGTTCCATTGTCTCATTATCAACCTTATTCTCCTTTTTGAGCCACTCAAATACTTCAAGCGCACACCAAGAATCTCTCCCTTCTTGAGAAAAGTAAACTAGAACTAACTGCAACTCTCTTGATGACAACTTATCATTCATTTCTTCAAGAACATCAGAGGGTTCCCTTGTCATTCTCTCTAATTCTTCAATTGCCTCGAAGAAGCCTTCGCTCATTTCATCTTCATCATCACTCGTTACATATTGGTCTAATTCCACCGACGTGAAGATCCTGAATTTTGCTTGTCTTTTTCTAAGAGCAAAGTTTGGATTTTGGTTGTTACATATCCTGGTTGAAATTCTTCCAAGACAATGTTTTGGAAAGAAAGTTTGATTAAATTGAGGAGGCAAAAAGCAGTGCCGATAGAAAGGCAAAGACGATTCAGTCAACGATATGCACCCACGAACAAAGGCCATCAGTGTGGTATGTTAAGTGTCTGATTGCCTAGATAGTTTAAGTGAAAAAAGGGGATAAAGAAACAAAAGTTTTAACTATCCGGGCTTCAATTCTCGAAAACTAAACAAAAACCCAAGTCTAATATGAGTCGAAAGAAGATTTACTAGTCCCAGCTGAGCCAAAAGATTCCTCTTTTCTTTTATTTTCGTAAGGTTTTTCGGCATCCAAGCAGAAACCCAGGGTAGTTCCAGTCTGAGGAGCTGAAAGGGAAACGAAAAGAATAACGGAACCCATAAAAGGGGAAACGAAGGTCAAAAAAATAACAAGATAGCCTGGAGTTGAATTGACGGGGTGAAAAATTGTGATGAAGAAAAGAGATTTGGGAATTGGGTGGTGTTGGTGTTGGTGTGTGAAAAGGCCGAAGCTCGATTCACCAACACCTGCCGAGAAAGCTACAAGAGAAGGGACTTCGGTCGAATTTTTTTAGTGTTTACAGTGGGAGACGTGTCAGAATTCCAAACATCGACTTCCAGCACATTTTGTAATCATCGGTTCAATTCTTTTTATTTATTTATGGATTAGCCTCCACGTTTGGATTGGAGGCCAAAAGTCCTTTTCGCTGAATATTTTCTCCTGATATTTTTGGATCAATTGTTAGGCTGATTTTGACACTCTATCATGAGGAGATGAAAAAACACGGGCTAATATTGGATTTTGGGTCTGTGGGTGCTATCCATTGGGCAGGTTTAGAATGCAAAAACTTGAGCCTACAATAGCCTTTTGTTAGGCTAGATCCAACAAATATTTTGTCCATTAATCACGATCATCATCATGGATGCATACATGGTAAAATAGAAAACGTTAACACGTTTGGTGGTAAAATTAGAATTTTTTTTTTTAAAAAATATGTGAAATTTAAAAGCATATAAATGATGTTTTCAATGTTTTCTTATAAATTATTTTCAAAATTTAGAAAATTATTTTCAAAACTTAAAAGAATAAAAAATTATGAGTTTTACATTTTAACTTAAAGAGCAAAGAAAGCATCTTTGTTTATTTCTATAATTAATCAAAAGAACATCAATGCTTTGTAAAATCTAGACTTCAATGGCATAATCGACTCTAAAACCTTCAAAGCTTGTGTTCCTCTTGTCACTCACAACTTGTACTTTGAGGATTTTTCTACAACATCGATGTTTATATATGTTTTACTATAATTTATGATATAATTGGAGAATCTTTCTATAATTCTTACTTTAACGTAATGCTCTTCCCAAAAAAAATTATATGTTTTAAGTGTTATGGTCATACTAGACTTAAACAATGACCAAATTTATGTAAAATTGTTCTTTGCATCGGAAGCAATTACTATCTTTCGGGGTTACTAACACTTGATTTTAAAAAAATTGAAAGATTTTCTTCCTATTAATTATTCTTTGCATTTGCATGGAATGGAATTAAAATCTTTGTATAACTACTTTTTAATTTAATTTAATTATATGCGTTAAAGTTTTAGTAATATCTTTGGATTTAATTCATATTTAATTATTTTAATTTAGTACAACTTCAAATCTTAATAAAAGTATCTTTCTTTAATTACTTTTTAACATTTTATTTTAGTATTTAAATATCAATTATCTTAAAGCTCATAAATTACAAGTTAGTTGTTGATCTGATGGTTTTATATTTGCCAGGTAAATAACTAACTTCATATAAAATTTATTATTTTAATTTAATTATTTAATATTATATTTTACTTTAATTATTCTTCTAATAATTATTTGTTTATTTTTATTTTAGAAAATTAGGTACCAAATCCTAAACCATAAACCTTAAACCCTAAAATTTATTTTTATTAACCAAACATGTTTTTTATATTTTAAAAAACTGAAAATGATTTTTTTTTTGAAAACAAAAATAGAAAATCTTTTCTAGAACCAAATCATAACATTGGTTTGATCCGCATAATAGGCGTTGGCGTATTCTCTGAAACTATTACTATATAGTCTTAATTATTTTATTTAAAATATTTTTAAAAAAGATAAATATTAATTTATTGGAAATAGACAACAAAATATGAAGATAATTTTTTTCTTGAACAAGTACCAACAAGATCGGCCTAGAATGCTGTGCGGAAAAAAAGATCTGGCTAGAATTCTCTCAGGTTCATATAAATTTAAACCCATTATTTATATGTTCTCTCTTTTGATGCCACTTTTCTCTTGAGGTTTTTGGCTCCATCAGTAGTTAACCAGTCACAGAGAACGTATGTTGGGTTTAAGTATATAGTACCGTTCAAGTGCTTTCATATCATATCAAATAAGAAACAGAAAATCAACGATGATGTGGTAATAGAAATTTATTCATATCATATAATAGTTCATGAGGTTTTTTCATATAAAGAAAACAAACAGACAAGCAAACAGAAAACGAAAAGATTGCAGAGAAATACGATGATATGAAGCATTTAGTTGGTACGGGAATCATTGCCGGGGTTGAAGTTGAAGATCTTCTCAAGCTCTCCGAAGCCTGAGCTAAAGCTTCCAAACTGCTGCTCTTGTGGGTGATTCGGGAACGGATTCTGCAGCAGTTCGGGTCCAGCTTGGTCCAGGAACACAGTTGTGAAGTCACCTCCACTGGCTTCCCAACCAGGCAGCATCATATGTTCAGGATTTTCCTGATCCAAGTTAAGTTGGTTCAGTCTGTTCACCTCCTCCGCTATGTAATTCCTTCCATCATCAACTGCACAAGAATTATATATATTTACGTTAAATTATATATATAAGAATTGATATAATGTAATTGTTAGAATTAAAGGAAAAGAAAGACCTACCACAATAATCCAGAAGGCGTAGGAAAATAATTAAAACTTCAAACGGAAATATAATATCTTCAAATATAGTCAAATTAAGTTTTTTTGAAAAAAAGAAGAAAAAATGAAGGAGGAAGTAACTGAATGCAAT